AGGCCTCAGGTCGTGGAGCAGGATGATAAAGTTTTCTACCTGAATTCTTGACCCACAGAAAACACTCATAGTAAGTGGATGTTTTAGTCACTAAATTTTGAAGGTTATTTGTTACACAACTCTGTTAACTACAACATCGTGTTTCATTTTTAACTTAGCTGTCAGGAAGCTCAAAGTCAAGATTAATGCTTAAATACAATAACTGTATTAGCCATTAGTTAGCATGACTACTTCTTTATTTTATGACTTTAAAATGTGTTTCTATTTTATTAACCTTATTTTGTCTTTTCTTAAAAAATATGGTGTGCATAAGCAACAAAATGATCCTTGCCTTTCCGCTAAGGATAAAATTATAAATTTAATACCTGAATCTTCTTTCATTTCAACATCTTCTTCTTCATTGTCATCTATTAAAAATAGAAAAATACAAAGAAAAATTTATATGAAAGCTAGAAAAACCTGAATTCTCCAATTTGATTAATAAAAAAATAAAGATAAAAACCTTAGTAGAAAAGAGAGTGATATAGTATGTATTTTAACAATTATTATCACCTAAATTAGGAAGAAAGTATACACATTAGAGCACAATTTGACACCTAGGGTTTATATTTCCTTTAAAAATATTGTATAACAAGCTATATATGTAATAATTTTTGTTATAAAAGTTATGCATAGTCATATCATTCATTTCAATTCTAAAAAATAAAAATCACAGGCTTTAAATGCCACATTTTCTGCTTTTATTAAGGATATCTGAGAAATATAGGCATCACCATTTGGTTGTAGGTTAACTCAATGACTAATCCCTGCACTGCACCATAAAAAGTGTTAGTTTGCTACACATGCGAATCCAAACCTTTAACAATGTGCTTTTAAGTGTCCCCACCAGTCACGCCATTCCCATTTAAGTCCCCTCATCTCCTCTCCCATTGTAACTCCTTTTAGCTGGAAAAAGGCATGTTTTAACCCCTCTGCACTCTAGATGACAGACATATTTGCTTTTTTGAACTTTTGAAGTATTGTTATCTTTTCTCCTTAAATATTCTTTATATCCACACAAATATAGAGGACAATCTGGTGATGACCAGAGGGGATGGGGGTTGGTGGGCTGGGAAAAATAAGTGAAAGGTTAAAGAAGTACAAATTAGTAGTTAATAGATGGTCACGGAGATGAGGAGCATGGCATAGGGAATGCAATTAGCATTAATGTAATGGCTAGGTGTAGAACCAAAGGAGAGAAAGAGAAATTAGGGGGATTGTTTTATAAACTAGATAAATGTCTAACCAATGTACTGTATACTTGAAACTAATACAATAAAAAAATATATATATTCTTTCATCCAGACAGTGCTAAATCCTGTTTCCATGTTTCCTCCTATCTACTCACATATTACAACCCAAATTCTGACTATCAGTGCCATTTACTTTACCTATATTTTGGTTTTGTAACTGGTCCTCTCTTCTTCCTACTCCTGACACCAATTCCTTTTACATGTAGCTGCCAAATCAGTTTTAAGATACTGTTCTGATTTGGTTCACAACCTTTCAGAGTGGCAACTCCACTCTGCCTAAGAAAAGTCTAAACTCTTTTGGGTCACACTCAGTGCCAACATATTTGTCTCCAACCATTTTTCTCAGCTTCATCAACCCTGTTCCACTCATGCTATCACCTACATGCATGACAACTCTTCACTCATCTCTATTTTCTCAAGGGGTCCTTTATCCTCCTCTACTTGCCTCAGTCCTGGAAGCAATGTCCTTTTCCATCTCTATTCACACTCATCTTTCAAGGCCAAGTTAAAGTATCATAACATCTGCTCAACCCAAATTTGAATAAACAGTATTATCTTTAGTGCATCTAATTTTTACTCCCTTCTGAGTATGAATTTTAAGGACCTTTGGGTTTAGATCTGCATACCACTACTCCACCCAATCATTTACTAAGCATCTTGGAAAAGTTACCTAACCTTCCTGAGTTTCAGGTTCGTCAGCTATAAATTGGGATAAAAATATTGCCTCCTACATAGAGTTGTAAGGATTAAATGAGATAATGCCATATAAAGCACTAGGACAGCTACTGAAACAGTTCTAAGTGCTAAATATTAGCTATTATTACTATCAAATCCCACAGTCTACTATTTGTTAGCATATCTCTTTTCCATACATTCATCTCTAGATCATAAATTAGGCAAAGATAAAGACCACATCTTATGTTCCTCAGTATCCCCTGGTACCTAATGTAATTAATTTTATACACTAGAATCAATAAAGATATTTTCACTGAATTAAATTCCTGTTATTTCATATGTCACGCCTACATAGTAGGACATTTATTATGTATATGATGGTTTGAAAACAATGAGGACTCAGTAAAGATTTGCAACTTCTTTCAGAATGTTTTATAATTTAGTAATGTTAAGCCAAATTTATTCAATATGGTACTTATCTTACTGTTAATTATAAATAATGATTAGAGATATATTGGTCAGTGGAAATGGAAAATGCATTTAACTTGAGGTTTTAGAAAAGTAATTCTTGATGGTCATAGTCAACTTTTAAGGAAATATATTTTCTTCCATTCAAATATGTTAGAAACATTAGTGATTTTCTCTACAATATAGTTCTTTCATTCTTACTACGAATGCAATTTTGGGAGGAAGAATACTTATTTCTTAGAAACATGATTTTCTAACTAAATGATTATCAAAATGTTTTAAAGAATACCCTTCAGAGATTCTTCCTTGGACTTAATGTATTTAAACAGAATTGATATTTCCAAAACCATCTAAAATCCCTATGACAACAGCCTATCTGGAATCTCAGAGTAGGATGAAAAAGAATCTCTACAGTTTCTAAGGAAAGATAAAGAAAGAATCTAAGATCTTTTTCCCTGTTACTCATATATCCATTAGTCCATCTGGCAAACACTCATTGGTAACCTACTGCATGCAAGGCTTTGTGTTTGGGGAAGTAGAAAACACCAAGATGAATCAGACTCTTAAGCAGTTGTCTGTAAAGTTATCATTAGTAAGGAAACGAAGACAGGCCAATAAATTTGAACATATGGTAGAGAGTAGTCAGTGCCATTACAACAGGTGTCCGAGGAGGGATAGATGCTTCCAGTTGGGCTACTTGAAAGAGTTCTCAGAAAATTTGACATTATAGCAGATATTTGAATTTTATAGTCTGTACTGAGAGCATCATCCACAAAATGATACTCATGTGTTGAAGGATCAGAAATAGTGTTTCCTTCCTTCCTTCCTTCCTTCCTTCCTTCCTTCCTTCCTTCCTTCTTTCCTTCCTTTCTTTCTTTCTATTTCACTCATTCCTGAACAACATTCTATTGGGGCAGAGTCCATCAAGAGAAGCTTCCAAGAGGAGCACATTTCAACTAAGACTTGAATGAGGAATAAAAGATATTAATAGAAAGTATCATAACATCTGCTCAACCCAAATTTGAATAAACAGTATTATCTTTAGTGCATCTAATTTTTACTCCCTTCTGAGTATGAATTTTAAGGACCTTTGGGTTTAGATCTGCATACCACTACTCCACCCAATCATTTACTAAGCATCTTGGAAAAGTTACCTAACCTTCCTGAGTTTCAGGTTCGTCAGCTATAAATTGGGATAAAAATATTGCCTCCTACATAGAGTTGTAAGGATTAAATGAGATAATGCCATATAAAGCACTAGGACAGCTACTGAAACAGTTCTAAGTGCTAAATATTAGCTATTATTACTATCAAATCCCACAGTCTACTATTTGTTAGCATATCTCTTTTCCATACATTCATCTCTAGATCATAAATTAGGCAAAGATAAAGACCACATCTTATGTTCCTCAGTATCCCCTGGTACCTAATGTAATTAATTTTATACACTAGAATCAATAAAGATATTTTCACTGAATTAAATTCCTGTTATTTCATATGTCACGCCTACATAGTAGGACATTTATTATGTATATGATGGTTTGAAAACAATGAGGACTCAGTAAAGATTTGCAACTTCTTTCAGAATGTTTTATAATTTAGTAATGTTAAGCCAAATTTATTCAATATGGTACTTATCTTACTGTTAATTATAAATAATGATTAGAGATATATTGGTCAGTGGAAATGGAAAATGCATTTAACTTGAGGTTTTAGAAAAGTAATTCTTGATGGTCATAGTCAACTTTTAAGGAAATATATTTTCTTCCATTCAAATATGTTAGAAACATTAGTGATTTTCTCTACAATATAGTTCTTTCATTCTTACTACGAATGCAATTTTGGGAGGAAGAATACTTATTTCTTAGAAACATGATTTTCTAACTAAATGATTATCAAAATGTTTTAAAGAATACCCTTCAGAGATTCTTCCTTGGACTTAATGTATTTAAACAGAATTGATATTTCCAAAACCATCTAAAATCCCTATGACAACAGCCTATCTGGAATCTCAGAGTAGGATGAAAAAGAATCTCTACAGTTTCTAAGGAAAGATAAAGAAAGAATCTAAGATCTTTTTCCCTGTTACTCATATATCCATTAGTCCATCTGGCAAACACTCATTGGTAACCTACTGCATGCAAGGCTTTGTGTTTGGGGAAGTAGAAAACACCAAGATGAATCAGACTCTTAAGCAGTTGTCTGTAAAGTTATCATTAGTAAGGAAACGAAGACAGGCCAATAAATTTGAACATATGGTAGAGAGTAGTCAGTGCCATTACAACAGGTGTCCGAGGAGGGATAGATGCTTCCAGTTGGGCTACTTGAAAGAGTTCTCAGAAAATTTGACATTATAGCAGATATTTGAATTTTATAGTCTGTACTGAGAGCATCATCCACAAAATGATACTCATGTGTTGAAGGATCAGAAATAGTGTTTCCTTCCTTCCTTCCTTCCTTCCTTCCTTCCTTCCTTCCTTCCTTCTTTCCTTCCTTTCTTTCTTTCTATTTCACTCATTCCTTCACTTATTCATATAGTGGTTAAGAGTATACCAAAGATCTGGACTCAGCGTTCTTGGGTTTACTTCCAGGCCTAACTATATACAGTTGTGTAATCTTATAAACCTGTACATAAGCTTCCTCATCTGGAAAATAGGGATAATCGACATAGCAACCTAGAGTTGGTAATACATGTAAAATGCTTACACAGAATGAGCACTAAATAAATGCTTGCTATTACTGTTAGGATGCCATTATTATACTACTTTTATTACTTAACCATTTATTGACCAGCACCATGTGCCAGAACTATGTAAGGCCCTGAAAATAGGGGTTATTGACAATCCCTTCCTTCAAAGTGCTCACAAAGTGGGTGATATAGAAAAGTAAAACAACAATCAGGTTAAGAAGTAAGAGATTCTCTGGTGCAGGTAAGCAGAGGTTCTATTGGTATATGTGTTGCTGAAGTGAGC